AGACAACAACACCTATTCCCTCAAGCTAAGGTTAGACCAAACACTTACCTTGATTCCACAGCCAAAATCAAGCCTCAATTACCGCTTTACCTCTCGGTTTCACTTCCAATCCGCTTTAATCTAGTCATAACTAACTAATTAACATCAATTAACGCTAAATAAACCAATTCTAATGTATGAGTATAGATTTCCCAATGTTTTCCCAAAAAGGTTAAAAACCGACCCCTGGCCCGCTTAGTTAAAACTCAAAGTTCGAATCAAAACCCGATTACCCACCCAAATATGCAATTGGTTTTGACATCCGACCTCAAATTGAGGTCCAAATCTACAAAATTTGAAAATCCTAATTTCTACCCAAGAACACCCAATTTCCCATGAAAAACCCCTAGATTTTGAAATGAAATCATGTAAAAAGATGAAATAGATTGGAGAAAAAGAGTTAAGATTCATTTACCTATGATTTGGGGAAGAACTTGCTCTAAGAAAATCGCCCTTTGGAGTTTAGGTTTTGAGATTTTGAAGAATGAAGTAAAAATCCCATCCAAATGATGTTTTGATCAGGTGCAGATGTCGCAATTGCGACAGGAGCTTCGCAATAGTGAAGCTCGCAAATGCGAGACAGGCTTCGCAATTGCGAACCTGCTGAATGTCTACTCCTCTCTAAATTGCGAGCAATTTGTCGCAATTGCGATCAGTGGCCCTCCCTGTTGACTTCGCAATTGCGAAGGAATGTTCGCTAATGCGAACAATGCAGGCCTGGCTTCTTCACAATTGCAATAAAGCCCTCGCAATTGCCAGGCCTATTAGGCTCACAATTGCGAAGTCTAACCTCGCAATTGCGAGATCAGAGCCTGCAACAATACCAGATGCAGCAGCAATTTTTTTTCTATGTCCCAAAACACTCAGTGGCCTTTCCAAAACTCACCCGAGCCCTTGGGGCTCCAAACCAAACATGCACACAAGTCTAAAAATATCATACGGACTTGCTCGCGCGGTCAAATCGCAAAAATAACATCTTAAATAACGAATTTGACACCAAAACTCATGAATTCCTCAAGATAGTTCAAAATTTCTATTTTCTAAACCAAGGGTCCCATTTATATCAAATCTCTTCCGTTTTCCACAAAATTTCACAGATATGACTTAAATATTATACGGACCAGTACCAGGTTCCGGAACCAAATACGGGCTCGATACCATCAAGTTCCAACAATATTCAATTTCTAAAAACCTTTATATTTTCTAGCAAACAATTTCTTTAAAATTCTTTTCTCGGGCTAGGGACCTCGGAATTCGATTCTGGGCATACGCACAAGTCCCATATCTTAGTACGGACCCTACGGGATCGTCAAATCACGGGTCCGGGTCCGTTTACCAAAAATATTCACCGAAGTCAACTTTAATCAATTTTAAAGGCTAAATTTAATATTTTTCTTAAATTTCACATAAAAGTTTTCAGAAAATGCGCCCGAACTGTGCACGCAAATCGAGGAGAAAGAAAATGAGGTTTTCAAGGCCTTAGAAATCGAATTCGGGTTCTAAAACAAAAGATGACCCTTTGGATCATCACATTCAGCTATATTATGATATGTTGGGTCAGTTGGTTTAGGTCAGGAGTGGATTCGGAGAATATTTGAGACACTTAGTCTCTTTTAGGAAGGCTTAAGTTTGGAAAGTTGACCGGATGTTGACTTATGTGTAAACGATCTCGGATGTGAATTCTGATGGTTCCGTTAGCTCCATTAGGGGATTTTGGACTTAGGAGCGCGTCCGAAATGTGATTTGGAGGTCCGTGGTAGAATTATGCTTGAATTGGTGAAAGTTAGAAATTTGGTGATTTTGGTCGGCAGTGGAAAATATGATCAGGGTCGGAATGGAATTCCGAAAGATGGAGTATGTCCGTAATGTCATTTGTGATGTGTGTGGAAAATTTCAGGTCATTCGGAGGTGATTTGGTAGCTTTCGGCGTCGTTTGCAGAAATTGGAAGTTTAGAAGTTCATAAGCTTGAATCCGAGGGTGATTTAGTGTTTTGTTGCTGTTTTGAATGTTCCGAAGGTTCGACTAAGTTTGTATGTCGATATATGAATTGTTGGTATGTTTGGTAGAGGTCCCGAGGGCCTCGGCTTAATTTCGGGTGGTTGATGGAACTAGGTTGGAATTTGAGGAATCCTGAAGATTGGACTGAGCTTTCATAACCGCACCTGCAGAGTGGGGACCGTAGGTGTGAGCCCGCAGAAGCAGAGAAAGGCCGCAGATGCAGCCAAGGCTAAGAAGGGTAGGAACCGCAGGTGCGATGAGTAGAGTGCATCTACGAGACCGCAGGTGCAAGGAATGGACCGGAGAAGTGGATTCTGAGGACTTAAGTGAGAACCGCACCTTCGATGCATTTTCCCCAGGTGCGGCATCGCAGAAGCGACATAAGGAACGCAGATGCGATGAGTAGAGTGCATCTGCGAGACCGCAGATGCAAGGAATGGACCGGGGAAGCGGATTCTGAGGACTTAAGTGAGAACCGCACCTTCGATGCATTCTCCCCAGGTGCGGCATCGCAGAAGCGACATAAGGAACGCAGATGCAGATGTTCTGGGCAGAATGTATAAAAGGTGGACTTCGCGAATTTTGGGTTATTTTCCACCATTTTTAGTCGGCCTTGGAGCTTTTGAGCGCGATTTTGAGGAGGAATTTAGTGGTTTATCAGCAAGGTGAGTGGCTGGAGCCCTAATACGTGTATATGTGATGATTTCCCGTTGATTTATCATGTAACTAGTGAAGATTAGGGGTGAAAATGAGGTTAGGGCTTGGGAATTGGAGAGTTTGATTTGTGGATTTGAGGGACCATTTGATATCGGATTTTGATGAATTTAGTATGGATAGACTCGTGAGTGAAAGGGGTTTCTATTTTTGTGATTTTTGTCGGATTCTGAGACGTGGGCCTGGGGGGGGGGGGGGGGGGGGCGTTTTGGGTGAATTTCTGGATTTTAGTCTAAATTGATAGTTTTTCGTGTGGAGTTGGTTCCTTGGCCTATATTAATTGCATTGTATTGCTTTTGGCTAGATTCGGGACGCTTGGAGGCCGATTCGAGAGGCAAGGGCGTCGCGGAGTAGGATTTTAGCTTGGCTTGAGGTAAGTAATGCTTCCAAACATGGTTCTGAGGGTTCGAAACCCCGAACTATGTGTTATGTGATTAGTATTGAGGTGATGCATATGCCAACTGACGGGCGTGTGGGTGTGCACCGTGAGAATTGTGGCCTGGTTCATTCAATGGAACCGCTTAGTGACTCTTTCCTGTTGATATCCGTATTTCCATCATGTGATTAAGTAAATGAGCTGTAAATTATGCTAGATATCATGTTAGGGCTTTACGCCAATACTGTTGAGACCCGAGTGGTAGTTTCTTGCTGTCATCTCATTAGTTTCATTGATATTCTGTACTCAGTCTTATTCATGCATATCATATCATGTCTCAGTCTCGGTTGTTATTATTTGGCACATTATATCATTGTTTCGGGCTAGTTTCATGGCATTGTGAGTCCGTGTGTGTGAGACTGGAGAGTGATGACTGAGTGAGGCCGAGAGCCTGATGATGAGTGGCAGTTAGGGGATCGGGGTGCATGCCGCAGTGGTTATGTTGATGATTATGATAGCGCTTGGGTTGTAGGAGCCCCTCCGGAGTCTGTAACACACCCCTAGTGAGCGCAGTTTATATTTTGAGGGATGGATCTTCCCTGGACATGGATCTTGTCCGAAGTATTTATACCTGGAGATGGATATTCTCCATAGGGCCGGAATGGCCTTCCTCAGTACTGAGTGACTGATGTCAGTGATGTGTATATATATACTCCGGGATGGATCTTCCCTAGGCCGGATGGCCATATACAGTACCGAGTGGTTGAGCACTTGAGAGTGGAGGTACATGGTATATTTTCATGTATTATGTGCATTGGCACGTAGAGATTAGTTGAGCTTTATACTTCACATTGTTCAGATTTGTATTTACTTTACTGTTGAGCTGAATACTTGAATTGCAAGCATGCCTACTTTACTGTTCAGTTTAATTGTGTTTACCTGTTGAGGTTTAGTTCGTCACTACCTATCAGTCCATAGTTTGGACATGTTACTTACTGAGTTGGTGTACTCACGTTACCCCCTGCACCTTGTGTGCAGATCCAGGTATCTCAGGCTACGGTAGCGGCTGTTGGCTATTCCAGTCACGGGCTTTCATCAGAGATAGCGGGGTAGCTGCCTGGCGATCGCAGTCCTGCCTTTCTCCTTCTTTATCTTCGTTTTTGTGTATTTTGGCTACTCTCAGACTATGTTAGTCTTGCTATATTTCAGAACAGTTCTATTTGCTCATGACTTAGTGACACCCGAGGTCGGGCTTTTATTTTCTGCATTTTGGTTTTTGAATTAATCTCTTTTACGAAATTTCAGTATGAAACAGTCTATTATCTATCTTTTAATGAAGTATCGAATTGTTTGAGAGTGTGTCGGCTTGCCTAGTTCCATGATAGGCACCATCACGACCGGGTTGGTTTTGGGTCGTGACACTCCTATTGTGTGATGGATAAAGTAAGATAGTGTGTCAATGTGAAAGCTCGTAGTACTTATACAACAATAACAATATAATTGTACTTCAATTCCAAATAACTCAAAGGTCGACTAAATAAATTATCATTTCTCACTGGTCATATTTTCCCAATGAATATTCATCTCATCAGGCTGATGAAATATAATATTACTTAACATCTCATATAACAAGCTAATTGATTTTGAAATTGTACATAACACAACTGAAACGTAAAAGATTTGAGGAATTATTGTTTCTTTCCACCAAAAGTTATTTAAGTTTACATTACCAACATTTGGAAAATGCACTTACTATATCCTTTTGTGCTAGTGACATTCCCATTGTTTGAACATAAAACACAAGTAGCATTATAGCTCGAGTATTCATGAGACTGGACTATATCCTTCCACATATAGATAAATATAAAAGTACTATGCCCATTTCCTCTTAACTCTAACTTCAAAGCCATGTTTCATATAGAGCATAACGGAGACATTAGGGTAAACAACATGACCTTTCACCATTTCAATTTGGTAATTATGGATGATAGTAGCAACTACTACTTTCATTTGAGTGAAAACTGCTTCTTTTCCTAAGCAAGTTCTTGGTCCTGCATTGAAAGAAAAGAACTTGTATGATTGCTCATATTTAATCATTCCATGGTCCGAAATCCATCTGTGTGGCTTGAATTCCGAGGCATCCTTTCCCCAGATGGATTCCATCCTCCCCATTGCATATAAAGGAATCATCAATCTCATATTAGGATGAACATGGTGGCCACTTGGGAGAATATCAGGTTCTAGTGGAGTCTTATGCTGAAATGCGACAGGGGGATATAGCCTCAGTGATTCACACAATGCAGCATGTAAATAAATCACATTTTTCAACTCATCAGCCGTAAAAAGCCTCCATTTTTCAGCTTCTTCTGGTGGGATAATAGCCCTAAGTTCTTCCCTTATATTCTTCTCAACCTCAGGATGTGTGGACACCAACCAAATGAACCAGGTAAGGCCTGAGCTAACCGTGTCATGCCCGGCGAACATGAAGTTTAAAAAGGTATCCCTTAAGAACTTGTTGTCAAACTTCAACCCTGATGTTCTTCCTCCATCGTTGATTATGTATGGTGTTAATAAATCAAAACCCTCTTTGTTTTCCTTACTTTTTTCAGCTCTACTCAATTCTTCGCGCTTCATCAATATATACTCACCTATAACACGATCAAGAACATCCGAAGCTTTTCTTAATTGCATTTCTGGCCCAACTCCTAGCCATTTTTGCAACTTCCAAATAGTTTCTGGCAATAAATAGCGGATGGATACAACATATTTAGCATCATCCATGGCTTTCAAGAAGGGAACATCCGGGAATTCAAGAGAGAGGCAACAAGATTCAAATCCTGTGAGTAATTCACACGTCGTATCAAAGGTGAATCTCTTGAAAACATCTTGCAAGTCAACAATTCTATCTTCTTTAGCAATGAGCTCAAGGATTGGAATCAAGCCATTTTTTACCTTGTCCAAGCTGATTTTCGCCGAACACTTGTGGAATCTCTGATGAGTGATCAATGCTCTAGCAAGTTTCCTTTGATTCTTCCATAGATCCATGTCAGAACTAAAAATTCCATCACCTAGAACATCAAAAATCTTCTTGAGTTCGTGCCCTTTTGGAAAATTTGTAAAATTTGCACTCATAATATAGTGTACATTTGCAGGATCCACTGTGCCAAGAATGTCCATATTAGTAAACCAAAGACCTTTCAGCAAGAAAGTACCGCTAGTTCTTGAAAGAACCTCTACACTCCTTTCATGAATTCTATGTATATGGAGAACAAGGCTTGGAAACATCCCAAGAAATGTCCAGTTCCATATAAAGCTACTTCTGCCTTGTAAAGCCAACACAAAAAAGCAAAAGATTGCTACAAAAATCTCAAAGTACCCTATTGTGGCCAATAGAGAAATAAAAGCCACATCTTGCCTATAATGTTCACTCTCCTTGGTGCTTTATTTCATGCTTTACATATATATAGACAAACACTCTAGTCTATTTATAGGGTCTCATGATGGGAATGTGATGCATAACTAGTGGCAGAGTTAGTGTATATAAGAAAATCCTAGGACAGCCGGTGCACAAAGCAAAGGATTCGAAGAAGGACCACACCCTAAGTGGTATGATGTAGGCCGCTTGTCTTGATGCAAGCATCATTGGTTGATTCCACGGGTCGAACCCGTAACCTATAGGCCACACAGAGACAGCTTGACCGCTGCTGCAAGGCTCCCCTCATATGAGAAAACACTAAAAAAATTAAAAATTATTACACTTTGAACCCCCAATTTTCAGATTATAACAAGTTCAGTGGTTAAAAATTAAATATTGAACCATTAAGTTAAAATTATGGATGCATAGCATTAGCATTATTTTATGTTTCAGATTTAGTTGTTTCCAATTAATGTGCTGATGGATTAGAAAAGATATATACTGTGAGTCCGGAAAAAATCAAGAACCATTGATTTATCTAATATTGTTATTTTGTATTCAAACAACAAATTTTTGATAGTCTAAAGACTTCTGTAGTTCCATCTTGACATATGTATCACTTGAGGCAAAATAACTTACATTAAGGAATTTGCAATTTTATAAAACTACTAGTGAAACTCTCCGCGCTTAGCGCGGTTATGAAAAATATCAGTAAATCATACTTTATTCCATGTATATTGCTTGGATTATCTAAATAACAAAAAATATTAAAACCAATAGAGTATATATGCAAAATAACGAATATGAATATATATATATATATATATATATATATATATATATATATATATATATATATATATATATATATATATATATATAAATAAAATTATATATATATGTAATTGTACAATAATAAGTAAAATATGCAAGGGTTTGTGTCGCCGCATATCTCTAAAACCTCCCGTCGGTGATGCCGGAGGTGACACCCTGTCACGACCAATTTCTCCTCCGTTGGGTATCGTGATGGCACCTAGTCTTAAGTACTAGGTAAGCCTAATATTTACGGAATAACAACAATAATAAATAACATCTAAAAATTTTCGAAAATAAATTCTTTATACAATAAACATATTCCAAAAACCCGGTAGTATAAGTCATAAGCTCTACAGAATTTGCTACAGCTTCTAATTACAACTGTTTGGAAATGAGCAAAAACAGTTTGAACACAAAGTAAGAAGGTGACACCGAAGCCTGCGAACGTAGCAGCAGGTTTACCTTGAGTCTCCTCAGCAAGGATTCGCACAGCTACTACCGATCAATACCTGGATCTGCACAAAAAAATATGCAGAAGTGTAGTATGAGCACACCACAGTGGTGCCCAGTAAGTATCAACACTAACCTCGGTGAAGTAGTGACGAGGACTAGTCAAGATACCCACTGGTCTAATAAACTGAACAAGCATAAGTATAGGAATGACAGAACATGACATCTATCTAAGGACTACGCTATATGGCTAACAACATAGCAACTGCAATAAGGAAGGAAAAACAACAACTAATAGCGGAACACTATAATAAGACCCAGAAGAATGAACGGAAACACAGCCCAAATCCGAAAATCACAATACAGTAAAGGTAAGTCGTAACTCAGCAACTGCAATAGTTTTCACATTAGGTCTTATCCAACAAACCCCAATAAATTAGTCAAATCCTTCAAGTGTAAACTTTCACCCGTAAGTTTTTAAATTGAGGTCTTTAGGATATAATCCTTTCCCATAAGAAATTCTCCTTGAAATATATTTGTTTCAAATAATAACCATCAAACATAGTTCTTTCAAGATAAATACTTTTCAAATATAAATCCTTCAAGTATAGGTCACCCTGTGACACCTAAGCATAGAAGATTAGCAGGTCTGAACACAGATATAACGACAAGGGATCTCCCATGATACCGTCCCGTAGTCCAAAAGTGAATATGCAGTGTTGGGGGACCTCCCGGAATATCGTTCCGTGGTCCCAAAGTAAATATGCAGTACAGGGGGATCTTCCGGAATATCGTTCTGTAGTCCCAAAGTAAATATGCAGTACAGGGGGATCTCCCAAAATATCGTTCCGTAGTCCCAAAGTAAATATGCAGTACAGGGGGATCTCTCGGAATATCGTTCTGTAGTCCAAAACTAAATATGCAGCGCAACCAACAGAGATAATAACTATAGAACGACAGAAACCACGTACCTCACCACAACAAGTACCAAAAATAACAATGACAGTAATACAAGGTACAACGAGTATATCAACTCAAGAACTTTAAATCACAAAGAAATGGTAGAACATATTCACAAGGAATAACCACAGTAAAGAATTCTAGGCGCAAAGAGAACAACTTAACAAGGGAAAACAAAAATGTAGCAATGATTCCAGATATTCAAGTCAACAATAAGAAGCCAATATGAGTCAAATAGTTCCAAATAAAGGCGAGTCAACTAAGATATAGGTTATATAAACTCCTTCTGAGGTTGAGCAATTACGAAGGATATTCAACAATTCAATTAAGGATATGCAGCAGAAGATAATCATAACTCTAATTAAGACTAAACAATTATAGGATGAGATGATAATAATTTCAATTAAAGATAAGCAGTCATGAAAATTTAGCATGGCGGTAGAAGAGGTCAAATCTTCAATTAAGTCAAATAAGATTCAATTAAACAGTAAGAGTAAATCCTAAGGCAATAATCTCTAATTAAAGCATATAGAGGTGAAACTAGCAAATAAGAACTCAAACGTATCAAGAACAACTTCATACACTATGAATACAAGGACCTAAGGACCCTAAAAGACTAACATCCCACAAATAAGTCCGAGCACGCACTCGCCACCTCGCGTACATGGACTAGAATCAACATAAAGGACTCAAATCCTAAGGGGTAGTCCCCCCCCCCCCCCCCACAAGGTTAGGCAAGATACATACCTCAAATACGACAAACTGGTACTCTAAAATGCACTTTTCGGGTGAAAAGACCTCCGGACGGCTCAAATCTAACCAAATTAACCAATCGATTTGTTTGAAAAACCCCGAAAGAAGCTCCCAACATCGAAGTCCAAAACTCAAAATATGAAGAAAATACCCAAACCCTCTATATAAAGGATTGTGCCCAGCATTTCCGCATGTGCGGATACTTAAGCGCATCTGCGCTATCGCAATTGCGGGCAGGCGTTCGCATTTGTGAACTTCACTTACAGGCCTAGGTCCACATATGCGGACAATTAGCCGCATCAGCAGCGCCGCAAAAGCGATAACAGGAGCGTAGAAGCGGGGCTCCTTCGTAGATGCGACCGTAGAAGCAGTTACGCACCTGCGTTCCAGCACTCGCAGAAGCGAGCTAGCTCCCAGGCCTCGAAGATAGCAGATGCAATCAGGCTCACGCAGAAGCAGAACCGCACCAGAGCTCCAAGGTCACAGGTGAAAAAATACCAGAAATAAGACATGCTCAAAACCATGCAAATCATCCGGAACTCGTCCGGAACACACTTGAGGCCCCGGGACCCCGTCTAAACACACAAACAAGTTCTATAACCTAAAACGGACTCGTTTGAGGTCTCAAATCACATCAATTAATGCCGAAAATAGAAATCGCGCCATGAATCGAACTATGAACTTCTAGATCATCCTACTTTGAAAACTCGTGCCGAAACCAATCAAACCAACCCGGAATGATACCAAATTTTGTAGAAAAGACCCAAATGATAAGGTGGAGTTGTTCCAACTCTCGGAATCGCATTCCAACCCCGATAACACAAAAGTCAACTATGGGTCAAACTTCTCTATTTTCCAAACTTCAACCTTTTCCAACTTTCGCCGAAATGCCTCAAATTACCCTACGGATCTCCAAATCCGAATCCGGATGCGCTCCTAAGTCCAAAATCACCATACCAAGCTGTTAAGATCTTCCAAAACCCATTCTGGAGCCATTTACACAAAAGTCAAATCCCGATCAAATTCTCACCATTTAAACTTCTAAAACCAGATTCCTTCTTCCAATTCAACTCTCAATCATCCGGTAACTGAATTCAACCATGCACGCAAGTCGATACACATAATATGAACTTGTTCAAGACCTTATGCTGCCGAACGGAGCTTACATTCTCAAAACGATCGGCCGGGTCGTTACATCCTCCCCCTCTTAAAATAAACCTCCGTCATCGAACGTGCCAAGATTCACCTCGAAGTCCTCAAATCATTGAATACACACTTCCAACATACACCAGCGGGTGATCCCACGTCACCCCAATTCACATAAACGTGACCACACCATCTCAACTATAATTTAGCCTTTCTACCAAAATCAATAAGCCTTAGAGCCAGAATTCTCACCTTCCATTCAGTTCTAAAAGACCCGATTCTAAATCCATATCCGGTATCAGTCTCAACTAGCTGCAACCACTATGCCTACAACCATAGAGTACAACCACACAACATGACCCATCGCACATAGGCGTGATGATGTCCAAAATCCACTACTAAAAAGTAAATGGACAGGGTCGCATGAAATATAATTTACCCAACTATGAGTCGGGGTCGAATCCCACAGAGAATAATATATAGGCAATTAGGAGTGTAAGAGAATTATCACTTATCGCGCAATGCCAAACACTTAGATTTTGGTTTAGAAAATAGTTATAACTAAATGCAAAAATGTAAACTAACCTAGAAAGCAAGTAAAATGATCAATGGCTACAAGAATGAATGCATCGGGAAT